TTGTTGTTTGTTGGTTTTAGATGTGTAGAAAGTGTTGTTTGAGCAATGTTTGGTTTCTGCAGGTTAATTCTGAAGTGAGCTGCGTGAAATTGATGTATGGGTGCATAAATAACTGTCAGGGGTACACTTTTTTTTATTGTTTAATTGATTCTTAAAAGTTGATTTGTTTAATTTATGAGAAAAATAAGAATTATTATTATTTTTTGCTTGTTTAATTGATTTGTAAAAGTTGATTTGTTTAATTGATGTGTAAATAATTCTTATTTGTGCTTGTTTAATTGATTGAAATGTAAAAGTTGATTTGTTGATTTCAATCTGCATCATATTTAAGGCAAAAGACCTGTTAAAGGTACACTTTCGCAACGCTAAACTCAAAATCGCAATGCGAAAGTCAAAATCGCAATGCGAAAGCCAAAATCGTAACGCGAAAGTCAATTCGCGTTGCGATAGTCTAATACGCTTTGCGATTTTCTCGTTGCGATAGTCAAATTCCCGTTGCGATAATCAAATTCGCGTTACGATAGTCAAATTCTCGTTACGATAGTCAAATTCGCGTTGCAATAGTCAAATTCACGTTGCGATATTCAAATGAATGTGTAATAAGTGATAACAACTGAACAGATCATAGCAATATTCAAACTCAAGTTACTAATACATGCCTAACTGAAAATGTTAAAAGTTTACACATAAAATACACATAATACAACGTTTGTATTTAAAAATCACCTAGGTTAATAGTCCCAAAAGGTGAAGCCGGTTGTGATTGGGATTTTGATTTTGATTGCGATTTTGATTGTCTTTTGCTTGACACCATATGAGCTTTGGATTTTGATGAGGATCCATATTTTGGTAGAGGAAAAGATGATTGTGATGGCACTGGTGATCCACATGTCAACCTTGTATGACCACTTTCCTTGCACCGACTACATGTCGATCTCTTCTTCTCTTCACCCTTAGACAGTATACGATCGTGACTTTTTGGTCGGCCAGGTAGCCTTCTGTCCATGGCTGGTGGCAAAACTGTTTGTAAGTCATCTAATATGTCCCACTCAGAAGGATGTGAAATAGGGTAGATAATCTCGACATAAGTCTTTCGATATACTTCTGTAGTGTAGCAATCCATAGCGTATGCGCTCGAATCATCTTGGTTTAGATGAAGAGAAACTTTTATAACATGGCCACACGGATAACCAGATGTTTGTCATTTCATACAATTACATGTCTTTGCATTTAGATCGCCAAGCCCATTTAAGTTATTATCCAGTACTTCAAACAAAGTGTTTGAACATGGTTCAACTCTCCATGACGTTGACTTCACAACACGTTTCGTTATCTTTTTTTCAGTCCATGGTGTAACACGATGTTCCAATGTTCCTGTAAATTTAAATAAATAATACTTAGTAAAATATATGATAAGTTACGAATTTAAAGAAATAATACCTGCATGGTTTCTTTTCTTGTAGTACCACTGTTGAATATAGGCTCAAAAAAACTCCATTAACATAGTAATGGGTAATTTTCGGGAATGACGACTTAGAGTGTTGATTAATTCTGCACTATTAGACGTCATAAAACCATATCTTGCTCCAAGTTGATGTACTCTTGACCATCTTTCAAACCCGATATCTTCTAGTGTTTGAGCACACTGAGGCAAAATACGTCTTAAACAATTTATATACTTATTAAAATCCACTTCCCGATAAGCTTTTACAACCTTCCAGTATATCCATATGTGATTTTTTATACCAGCAGACCTTGATTTTAGATTTCTATACAAATGAACACCACAAAGTCCATGAAAAGCGTCTGGGAAACACCTTCTAACAGCGTTGTCAATTGAGTTTGCCCTATCGGATATGATTGTCAGATTGCTAATAGGACCCATGCAATCCCTAAGATGCCCCATAAACCATGTCCATGAATAAGAGGTTTCAGAGTTGCCAACCCCGTAAGCTATTGGCAATATCCCATTGTTAGCATCCATGACTACTGCTAATAAGTTTACTCCAATGTATCGACCTTTCAAATGTGCTATGTCAACTATAATAACTGGGCGCATGCAAGTAATAAACGAACGAATCTACAAAATAATATACACAAGAAATATAATCATTTAAATGTGAAATGCATGTAACTAACAAAAATAAGTCAACAAAATTATATTGATTTACTAACCGCAGCACCAATGGCAATAAACAGCAACTCAAAGCGTCCATCTCTATCTGTTTTGATATAAGTTACCGACCCAGGATTTTTCAGCTTTAAATTGTGACAATAAGCCGGCAGTTGGGCAAACGATGCTTCTGGCGACCCCCTCAACAATTCCAAGGCATAACATTTGGCTCTCCAAGCTTGAGAATATGAGATACTAATCTTGAACCGAGCATTCATGTCAATCATAATTTCATGTCCCCGATATACCCTGCCATTCAAAAACATTATCTCAGCCAGAAAACCACCCAACACCTTTTTGTTTGTCTATCTATGGTGAGGAAAAACTTGGGTTCTTGAACATGTATGTTTATCAATAAAAGTCCTAACTTGAAACATTTCGCAATCTTTTATCCTCTTTGCAATCATACGCCACGTACAGTTTTTGTCAATCATACACCTTGTTTTAAAACGATCTTTGCTTGATTTGTTAACTTTTAGTTGATAGTCATCTTTCACACATTTCGTATACAAAGCTATCTTCAAGTCTTCATTTGTATCAAAACAATCATCTTTCTTGATACGAATAATTTTTGTGTAACAATCAACTACTATCTTTACCAACTCTTCTTCTTGTATCTGAAGTAATTATGGCATATTCCAGTTATACTCCCGTGGTATTTTCTTCGGGGATTTCTTCTTCTTCTTTTTCTTCTTCAGGGTTATATGAATTACAAAATAGATGTTCAACATGTTCATTCACAGTCGTAACTTCCTCCTCATTATCATCAACAACATCTTCTTCGGCAGCGGCTGTTTCATCATCAAAATTCAGGTATTGATCAATATCAAAATCATTACACGCATGGTATGTTTCTTTTTTTGAAACATCATCAAAATCCGAGTATTGACCAAGATCAAAGTCCGGGTATTGACCAAGATCAAATTTCGAATACTGACTAGTACTCACAATTTTTTCTGTTGGCTCATCATCGTCTAACTGGTCAATACGAAAACCGAAATTTGGTGCTGAAAGTTGATTGGGATTTGGATTAGGGAAAGGTTGTGGGTTTTGAGATTGTGTTTGGTATTGGAAATGCGGTGAAACAAAATTTGCTTGGTGATGAAATTGTGGTGGAACCATTAAATTTTGAGCACCATAAACTGGGGTTGAAAAACTTAGTTGATTACTACCCGCTACTGACCCAACTTCACTACTTCTAGGTTCAACAATATACAATGTAACATTATCTTGCGAAACACTAATGTAAGCAATGAATCGTTCAACATCTTCATTGTCGGTTAACAAATAAACTTTACATTTTTCTCTGATAAGATAGCCTAAATCCACTTAGGGGCTCTAAATTCAATTTATTTGCAACACGTAACATTAGAGTTTCATAATTTAACTTTTGTAATGACAGTTTTAGTTGAAGATTCATGGGTAAAGGCATATATTGTAAAACACCATGAACATTCTCACATGACCCTCCAAAACACAAATATATCCAAACATGATCAGCATTAGATGATTTCATTATTGTAAATTAATTTACTAAACAAACGAGCTGCGAAACTAAAACTTGTTGCCGGATGGGGAAGGATGTCGTTGGATATAGGATGTCGTTGGATATAGGAACGGATGTCGCCAGAGAGAGTGATAGATGGAGATGGAATGAGTTGCGATTTAGGGATTTAGGTTATGAGTTGTTGCTGCTGCGTAGTTATATACCCAAAATATTTGTGTTGCGAAACTAAAACCTGTTGCGAATTTGAAATTCAGTGTTGCGATAGTCAGAATCGCGTTGCGATTTACATATTCGCATTGCGATAGTTAAAATCGCGTTGCGAATCTGGAAACTGATTTGCGATACTGGAGATCGCGATGCGATTTAGAGATCGCATTACGATTTTGTTGGTCATTTTGACAAATCAAAAAAAAAGTTGATCAAAATCTTATATTATAAGACATTTTTGGTCACGAAAGTTATTTTAATTCTTCCGATAAACCTACGTCCCAGATCACGATCACCACCTATCACTGACAGACTAATCATAAGATTTTTTCTCTGCCTTCATGCTTTGCACAGAAAGCAGCAATAAATGAACTTATATGTTCCTAATTCCCATGCCTGATCAGCTCTCACTTTCATGTGACATGACAACGCACTCCTATGTCTTGGTCAAAGGATTTCATAATGATCTTTACTGTTAGTATTAATTAGGTCTAAATATGACGGTTTAACAATGTATTTATCTTTTAGATCGTGTGGGGTTAACCAAAAGATCTTGTCTAGGTAAAATAATCGACCGGAGAATAGGAATGTTATGAAATATATGATCGACAAAAAATTATTTAAAGAACTTTTTTTTATTTCAGAAGTTTTAATCATCAGAGGAATTATATATTGAAGAGGTCCAAAGAAGATATAATACGTCACGTGGCTTAGAAATATCTCTACAAGTTGAGAGAGGAAAGGAAGTTGATATTTGAGATATTAATGAAAGGTGTTGCTTATTGATTTCATATGCGGCCGACGTTAACTGTATAAAACATAAAATATAAAAAAGAAAACCCAACACAGACTTTGAAGAAGGGTGATTTGACCTTACAGATTCTGTACAGACACACAGACCCATTTTAGTTTACGCCCCCACACGCTTCTTGCCTTTCTTCTTTTGCTTTTTGCCAAACTGTAACAAGTTGCAGTAGGCACAATACGGTACAACAGTCGAATGCCGTTTACCAAATTATTCCTCGTAATGTTTGTTAGACGTTTTAAATTATCATCAACAAAATGCTTTATAAACCGCAGAAGTGGTGAATGGAAAATGCGAAGCACACACAATAGCAAGGTGAGGCCTTTTGTTTATTATTTTCAGGAGGGCTTTCCTAGTAGTATATTTTAGGAGAGTTTCATCAAAACCTCACTTCCTTTTGTAATTAAAATACATAATGCATATATATTATTGATGATGGGCGACGGTAACGACATGCTTCTGCTCATAAGTTGACATTGAGTTTCAGTAGTAGCGGTTAGAGTTTTGAGCAGCCTGATCTGCAAATGACTGGTGCAGTTTTGCTTGCTTGTTTCCATCCACTTTTAGCCCAAAGTAAATGTGTGGAAAATGTGCCCACTGCAAATTTCAATCTTGTTGTCAATTACACCATTATGCCTTTGAAAAGGATCAATGCATGTTTACATAAGTTGAGGATAGGTTTAATCTTCTAAATATACGAATTTTTTTTTATAAAAAAAGTATTATCAATATAATAACTCATTTATGAATAATCAATATAAAATGTGAAGGAAAAAAAAACAGCAATGATCATTAATTTTGAGAAAAAATTGTGAATATATAAATACTCACATAGAACAAAATGTGAAGAAATCCTATCACGATGGATGTCTAATTGCGTTAAACAAACAGAGAGTATATTGTATGTGTATATTTGCAGAAGCTAAGAAAATGACTTACATTTTTTGCTGCAGTGCTGAAAGCTTCCCTGTGGCTGATATCTGGATTACTAGCCTTAATCCTTTGGATTTCTTCCCTAAATATAGCATATGATTCAACAAAGGAAAATGTGTGTGAAAGATGGATTCCATAATCAAGTAACCATGAAAGTTTTGTTTATTTAACTTACTTAATGAACCTGTTATACGCAGAAGGAACACGTTGTCTCTTCTCTGGGGCTGCATTATCTCATCAAATAAATCAACAAAAAAACTGATTATAAGCAAGCTTCATTAAACAAAAAATCTGGATTTAAGGCATCACATCGCATCTCTATGCGATGCTTCCATGTTCTTGGATCAAAGTCTAGAGGTTGTTTATAAAAGTTATGTACCGGCATAGGTAATTATATCAGCATTTTCTGGCATGTGAAACTCGACAGAATAGGCTAGTAGCCCTGGGTGCTCACTGCTCAATAGTGGTCCATTTTCATGCAAATGTAAGCATACAATACGTATGCTGTAGGGGTAACTACTGATATGGTTTAGGGTGAGGTGTAGGAAGCTGTTACTAATTAATGAGGAGTTAAAACCTGACATGTAATGTCACCATCTTGGTAGGGACCATGATTGGAAAGGAGATATCAGATAAGTTGCTTAAAGTGTTGATTTATTCACTATTGCCACTTGTGAGGGGGACACTTTTATTTTATTATTTGTTCAAAGTTTCCAGATCAATCATAGAAATAACTAGGTTTTGGTTCTGCTGCATTTAACCTTTCGGTGCCAGCTATGCATATGCATATGAATGTCTGTATGTATGAATGCATGAGAGAGAAAGAGAGACTGACGGCGAATAGGAGGCATTCTTGGTGCTTCTGGTTCTGCAGATTCAAATGCAGAAAACTGCTTGTTGCATTTTGAAGAAGACCCACAGTCCTTACTTGGATGATCTTGATCAGTGCTTATGGTCTGCTGTTTCTGGAACTCCACTCAAAACAATGCAAAAGACAAGTAAATCATCCAAACAAATTCTTTCTAATTTCTCCCACAAAGTCTTTTTTTCTTCTTACAACTACAAGAGTATTGACAAAAAGGAACCCCTTAAAAGAAACAAAAAGATGGGGAGAAATGAGAAGAGGAAAGATGTCAAATCAACTGAAACAACATTATTGTTTCATTACAGTATTTCTGAGAATATCAGAGTATAATCAGCTAAAAGGGTTAGGTATCCATAAAAACAATTGCATGGTTTGGAATCTTTGATCACTCTTTGTCTTTGAATACCTGAGCATCTTGAATGGGAACCGTTTGAAGGGAAGTTCCCATGTTCACAGATAGCAGATTGGCACAATGCCCACATCGAACAGTCACCATTTTGAACAAACTGTTGTATGGAACACTAACCTGCAAAATGCTACCATTTTGGGAATGTAATAAACCATTTTATAACCCTGCATGCTTAAAAAATGTGGTCAGACTAAGAACTTATCAGAAGCAACAATACATATGTATATATATGGAATGGGTAGATAAATGTTGGAGAATGGTTTTATTTCGTAGTACATTATTATCAAACCCTGAGAAGAAATCGAAGTCCCAAGCTTAATATCCTTTGAGATTTCATAATATCAAACCCTAATAAGAAAATCCAAACTCAATGAACATGATGAAGTAGGTAACCCATTGCCTGGAAAACTAAGTGAACATTGCTTTCATGGTTATTTTGAGATGGGGAAGATAAAGAAATGGTAGCATCAGACGCCAAATTATATTAACAAGACTAGAAATTTAGGTTCCAAGAACTCAGTCATTTGTTCAGCTCACATGGGCAATAACTATAAGTACAAAGGACTTATTACTTTTCTCTTTCGGTGCGCCTGGCTTTTTCTGCCTGACACCTCAAGCTAGATGATGAAAAGAAAAAGGGAAGAAAACCCAGGGTGGAATAGAGTAAGAGAGAGATGAAAACGACGTGACTGGAACGTAAACCATAAAAGTGATGAGCTATCAAAGATGGCCATTGAATAAAGAAAAAAAGATAAATTTTTTTATGAATGGTGATTGATTTACTGATCTTTGTGCAGTGTTTAGGATACTGTAAATGTGGTTTTGTTTGTTTCAGGAGAATGTTACATCGAATACATATCGATCACAAAAGGCAAATAGGCAATGTTATGCCTAGCCACCACTTTCCACAGAAAAGAAAACATCTTGAAAAACAACGATGATTTCTAATTTCAGAAGAAGGAATTAAGCTGTTAAAGAGAGTTTCTTGATGCAGTAGCTCTAGAAGAAGAAGATCAGGTTACTGGTCGTGTAACAATGGAGATTCCTACTGGTAAAAACTAAAGCAAGTGGTAGGCTTGCATTTGGAATACCATGACCATATGACTTTGAAAGGAAGGAAAAAAAAAGAATCTCCGCCATGGTTGACCTGGAGCTTGACCTGGAAGAACCCTAAAAATGCTTACCTGTAGCCCTAGTCATAGGTATATCTGGATAAAAGCTATTGGGGGTATTTGTTTCTCTTTTAAACTGCTGAAACTCACTTGGCCAAGTTTCTTCTGCTTGTTGATAAGGGATTAATCTTTTGAAGGGTTTCTAAATCATAAAATTCCCAGTTATATGTATGTATATATATATAGATAGTTAGATCTTGTGCTTGTTTTAGACAAAACCAAGCTAAAAATCCTCATAAAATATGAGATAAGAATGAGAATTTTGAGCTACTTTCCATGTTAAATCAAGAAAATCTCATGATCCATGATGGATAAAGTGAAGTTTTTTTTTTTTTTCCCATAAATACAAAGAAGAAGAAGATATATATATATATATATATTTAAATTGGGGTAAAAGATCATTTGAATCCCCTCTTTGTTCTTGAAGAAAAGAAGCGAAGGGATAGGCATTGAAAGAAAAGCGGACAAGGCCAATTCAGTTCTGTTTTTGCATAAAATGAAAGGAAGAAGAGAGAATTGAGGGTTGTACCGCTAAAATGGTGTTGCAGAAGTTGCAGTGAACATAATAAACACGTTCAGATGCCAAATCCAGTGACATTTTTGTTCCAACTTCTTCTTCTTCTTCTCTCTCTCCTTTGTAAATACAGTTTTATATCCCACTACAATAAAAGGAGCAAAATTGTGAGATCAAAGGTGCAAGATTTGATGAAGAAAAAGTAGGTCGACAAGGAACCAGAAATTTGTTGGCTTTATATTATACACTTATAATAATTTAATATTTTAATTTAAAACCAATTAAATAATTTTTTAAAATAATGATATTAATTTTTAAATCATTTTAATTCTTCGATCCATGAAATTTTTTAATTAATTACATTAGAAATTTTTCGCAACTTATTTCAAAATTATATATTTTCTCTTAGTTTAGTTTAATTAAGCAATTTATTAGTTAGATCGTTTAAGCTATTGAAGGGACCAATTGAACTTATATGTTTTGGACTAAGACATTATGTAAATTAAATTGAGACTTTTCATCATTTAATTACATATTCATTAGTTAAGTCAATGAATCATTTCACTATAGTACCATGAATGAGTTCTCATACATATAAAATTTAATGAAAGCATACTATTAATCAGTCAATTGACAGTTGATAAATATTCTATATTATTATCGCCATTGGTTAATTGAATCGATAAATAATGATTGAACCAATTAAGTGACTTCAATGATAAATATGAATGTTAATTTCTCTAGATGATCTAAATTCGATCAATTGTGTTTACATGATATATGTATTGTTAATAATTAATATTTTTAAAGTAAATATTATATTTTGTAATTACTCATATTATTTAAAAATAATTAATGACATTCTAAAAGTAGAAATATCAAATTATATTATATTAAAGTATATATACTAAAAATAATTATTTTTTTTCATAAATCAGTGGTAAATACAAGACAATATATGTTCAAATACTCTCAACCATTTAAACAATAAACGCTTATACTCCTAACATTTGTGATGCTAAAACTCGGGACTTAAAGGGATAACAACAAGTTTCTTAACCACTAAGATCGTTTGGTGAAATGATAAATTAGTAAAATTTTGAGTCTACAAACTTAATTAGATGAAAAAATTTCAAAAACTAATTGAATTTTCTGAAAAGTATAATAGAATCCAATATATGTGATTTTGAAATTTTAATTATATAATTTCAATAATGAAATTATTCTCACTATTTCAAACCAATTAGTTGATAATAATATTGAGTAATTTTTAAATTTGAATTTCAGCATCCATAGTTTCTTCTTACATCCCTAAATCACGACATCATTTATAGTAACAATAATAAAGTCAAATATCAGCACGTGAAATTGTTTGAACACATTTGAGATTGTTGGACCTCCTAGTGGTCCATATATTGTAGAAAATGATGGATCCACACCTAATTACTTTAACCTTAAGATTGAATGCTCCAAATACACTCATCCTCGCATTAATTATTGTTTAAATATAATTCACCGAGTGACGTCAATGGTAAAATAAAATGTTATTTTTCTTAAAGACTCTAAGTTAGAACAAATGTGTCTACAAGATATATGCACATTGTCAATTAATAAAAAAAGTTCTAAACAAATGCTACCATATAATTAATGATATTATAAAAGTAAGAATATCAAATTGAATTAGATTAAAGTATATAGACTAAATTTCAAAATCCAACATAGCAAAGGAACCAAAATCATAATTTTACCATATAACTTTTGATTGATTATCTAATATGCGAGCCTTAATATTGTCAAAACCAAATTTGTAAGAGTCCATTGGACCATAAAAGCCCACGCGACCTGTTGAACTATATTAAAAAATAGTACTGTATAGATAATAATAGACAAGGCCCATCCTATCTATATTACTATTACTGGATCATATATTGTTGCCCAAATTAAGGCATTCTAATCAATATAACATATCCTACTTTTGCTTGTATATATAACATAAATAAAATTTTAATTTTTAAAATATATAAAATAACTAATAAAACCGAGGTGTTAGTTTTTTTAAGCAAGATTAAAGTTTTGAATCATGAACTATGAATGGAGTAAACTTGATCAAGAAAGTACAATTATAATGGATTCCTACAACACCATATCTGAATTAGTTAGTTAATGGATCAAACTGTCATGGTTGAACAAAAATATTTATCGTTATTTTTATTTAAATGTTTGAAATATATTTTTCATTAAAATAGATATTTAAATTATAAAATTCTTACTTAAACATTTTTATAAAACTTAAAAGATACTTAAATAAAAAAAGATGATGCACTTTAAATACCTGTTTTAATAAAAGATATTTTAATTATCTAAATAAAATATAAGATATACTTTACATATCTATTTCAATTAAATAAAAATTATTTAAAATATTTATTTTTATGATATCTTAATCACATTTTTAAACTAAAACCAAACAATTGAAGAATCACCAATCCTTCACATTTCCAAAGATACAGACAAAAATTTGAACCTAAAACCAAAGATCGCTCAATCACATTTTGAACCTAAAACCAAAGATTTGAAGAAGCACCTACCCTTCCCATTTCAGTATCTACCAATTACCAAAATCTAGAGGCAGCATAAATGAGATCTACCTAACCATCTACCTGTCCTTCAAAACATACAAACAATGGGTTTATTGCTTACCTGCTAAAGGTTTAAACTTTAGCTGAAGAACTCACTCATTTTCTGTTCCAAGCTTCTTTTTTTGAATTTTCTCAACTTTGTAGCCATGACTCCAATGGGGTTTCTTGGTTTACTGTTTTTGCTGCTTGCTTTGTACTGTGGGATAGACCCTTTTAAGAAAAGTGCAATCTCTGAGTTCCCTGACTTCGAGGCTCACAAGGTGGATTTGCCTCCATGGGAACTGGTTCCCACCGATAGGGACAAGGATAATTTGCTTCAGAAATCGGAGATTAAGTTCTTGAACCAGGTTCAGGGCCCTGAAAGCATGACATTTGACCCTCTTGGTCGTGGCCCTTACACCGGTGTTGCTGATGGTCGGGTTCTTTTCTGGGATGGTCAAAACTGGAAGGATTTTGCTTATACTTCCAGCAATAGGTCAGTTTCAAGTTCTTGCTAGTTTGTTTCTCTTTTATCCATTTCGATAGTTTTGGTTCCAGAGTTAGATTATGTTACATACTTGTATGCACTGACTGAAATAAAAGCCAGTTGACTGATTCATACTGCAGAACTGGGTGCTTTTTCAATATGGATTTAGGGAACTGTTCTGAAATTCCAGTTAATCAAAAAGAAAAGAAACATGATCTGTTTTTTATTTTTCTTGTTGGGATTTATTGGAAAATGTAAATCTCTCAAACACTGAGCCATTGTGTAATTTGGGATTTCAGGTCAGAAATATGTAATCCGAAGCAATCACCATTGAGTTACCTACCGAATGAACATATCTGCGGTAGGCCTTTGGGCCTTCGGTTTGATAAGAACACTGGTGATTTGTACATTGCGGATGCATATTTGGGGTTGTTCAAGGTAGGCCCAGAAGGCGGATTAGCGACATCGCTTGTAACTGAGGTAGATGGAGTGCCCCTGAGGTTTACCAATGACCTTGACATTGATGATGAAGGAAACATATATTTTACTGATAGCAGCAGCAAATTCCAGCGAAGGTAGGTTTTCTATAACGTTGAAAATAACATTGTTGAAGTTCTTAATGCCTTTAGAAAACCTCTGCATTGCTGAAGCACAAGGGCATTCAAATGCCACCTATTTCCACTAATGAAGTTATTTAATTTTGCCGATACTTCCCCTTTATTTATACTATGTCTTAATATGGGTGGAAATCATTGATTCCCAGTGCATATATACTCTTTGATTATTGTGTCTGTATGGGCATGCCTTGGCCTTGGGGGTGTAAGGGTTCTTCACATGCTTCGAGATATTCGAGAATCATGCATGTGTCTGATGGCCCCAAGTTACCTGCATTGCATTTGTGCTTACATCCCAGGATGTGATACTTTTTGTGCACTGTTCTTGCATTTTATATCACCCTTATCAGTTTGTGTAATATACTCTCAAGTAAATGATTCCAACTGTAACTCGATTTGCAACTTCTGCATGTGGAACCAAGCAAATTTTCTTTTTGTTACATTGATTTCTTCCTCAAATGACCTCCAACATGCTGATTGCAGATTATTAGTAATTAGTACTGACACAGTAGTATTCAGGAACTTCATGCAGCTAGTTTTTTCTTCGGAGAAGAGCGGGAGGCTGCTAAGGTATAACCTGCACACAAAGGAAACCTCTGTCCTTCAGAGAAATCTCCAATTTCCGAATGGTGTATCCTTAAGCAAAGATGGTTCTTTCCTTGTACTTTGTGAAGGATGTCCGGGAAGGTAAGCTTGCTTCTACATTTACTCGAATTTTGTTGGCGGATATCTGCTGTACTATAGCGGTATAGCCATTAAAAATGCCTTTTCATTTAGATTTAAATCCAAAGATGACATTTAACACTGCTAGAACCCATTTTACTTCGACTCATGCTTGTGCTCCGAGAATTTTGACAATATCGTTTTTTTATTTATAAAAAATGACTTTTTTTTGTTTACCATGAGTTTCTTTTTTTTCACTAATTGACTGGATTTCAGAGGAGATGCAGATATTAAAAACTTCCAAGACTGTTCAAATTTGGTTCACAATAACTCTTTTACTGTTGCTATGTGATTACAGATTACTCAAATACTGGTTGAAAGGTGAGAAAGCAGGGAGTTCCGAGATATTTGCCATCTTACCAGGATTCCCGGACAATGTCCGAACGAACAAAGGAGGTGAATTTTGGGTAGCAATTCATTGTCGCAGGTTCACGTACGCTCATATAATGGGATTAAATCCGAACCTCAGGAAATTCATTCTCAAGCTCCCCATATCTGCGTATATCCAATACCTGCTTCAGATTGGCGGTAGGCTGCACGGAATTGTTGTGAAATACAGTCCGGAAGGAAAGCTGTTGCAGGTCTTGGAGGATAGTGAAGGGAAGGTCGTGAAGGCAGTTAGCGAAGTTGAAGAGAGGGATGGCAAGCTCTGGCTAGGTAGTGTTCTTATGCCCTTTGTGGCAGTTTACAACTTGGCTTGAGCTGAAAGGCAAAGTCTTTGGTAATAATAACTTGTCAAAGTTTTTTTCTTTTCTCAAACTAAATCATTAAGGTTTCGTTATGTTCTCAATATTTTTGTCAAAGTTCCCCGACATAAAATCTTACAATCCTTTCTGTTGTCATGCCCCATATTTAATTATGGGCATGCAATAATAAATTCATGATTTCATAGTTAAATATGGATACAAACAAATTATGTTCGGCGTATTTATGTTAACAAATAAGTTTGTCTCTCGACTCGTTTATAAGTTCGTTTACTCGTTTTTTCTTTCCTTTTTATTTTTTACATTTTAAATATTGGTGTATGTAAGGACTAAATTGAATACAAAATGAACTCCAAAGTTCAAGTTGTAAAGTTAAATGAGTTTAAAAACTAGTAGTGTAATTTCACCTTTTTTGCTTGCAAATAAAATGATAAAAAGAACTTGGTTACTGAATATTAAATGAATATTATAAAATATTCATAAATGTTAAACGAATATATTTATCAAACGAAATATATTTACAAATGTAAAATAAACAAACACGAATATTTTCAAAAAATAAACAGAAAAAAATAAAGATAATATTTAAAAATTAAACAAAACAAACGTAGACGTTATCTTATTATTAAATTTGATTCATTTGCATTTCTAATTTTTTTAATATTCATAACTTAATATACAATAATATGTTGTTTTCTGTTGTCATGCTGCGTATTCAACTATGGATATGCAATAATACAGTCATGATTTCATCGTTAAATACGGAAGCTAAAGCATGAAAAACAATTGAGAAACTTCGAAGTATTATTGTATAAATGGAAAATCAAAGAGGCGTTGGAAGCAAAGTTTGGTCTCATTCTGAAAGGGAACCGGACGGGAAACACGTAATCGAAGTTTCTAAAGAAAAGTGTGATAAAACCAATGTAAAATCTCTGAATGTTTTTTTTTTTATGGATTTTAATTCTTTGCCGCGGGTACGTCAAACGCAGAGATTCCCGAAGGTTCCCTCCAGAACCCAGTTCCTGGGAACTCGTCCAACAACTTCTCCGAATCGACGGACCCGTCAGCCTCGTTATCCCCACTTAGCTTCCCTTTCACCATCCGGTCCAGATCGGTGTCCAAATCATCCATCGGCGTTGTAGGATGCAAGCCTAGGTTCTGACTGTTTCGTTTCTTCTTTCCGCGGGCCTTCTTGCAAAGTCCGGCGGGAACCTTGTATAGGCCCAGGAAAAGCATCTCCACCATCGCAAGCGGAAAGCAGCAAGCCACCGCCGTGCACTCCGCCGCGGAGCCACCGACCATTCCCCCGTAATTCCTCCCTTTCCTCGCCATCTTCGGCTGTGAATGTGACGAATTTTTAAGATTCATCTTTAACCGAAAACAAGATTGATATCTCTCTGAAGTCTTCCCTTCCCTTGTCCCAGGAAAGAAACTAAAGAGAAGGAAGACGGTAGTTTTGAGATGAAGAAAACATGGGGAAATGGGATTCCTGATTCATTTTGAACAAGTTTTGTTTTAAATGAAGGAAGGATGAGGGAAATCGGGATAACTGAGGAAGACAAAATTGGAAAAGAAAAGGAAATAAAAGAAAATTTCCTTTGGCGGAGCGATTGATTTTCCGAGAAAATCGAAAGAAAATTCAATGGCGGTATTTGGTATCTTAGTTTTCTTAATTTGGAATATTAACAATACAAACATAAAGATACTGTTTTGACCTCAGCTATGAAAATGGAAGACGTTGGTGACTTGGTAACCAACACTTTCTTTAAGTATTTTTTTTAAAATAATTTTATCTAGAGAAATGAAAAATGAATTTTGTTAGTAATGAAAAAGTAGGACGAAAATTTGAAGTATTTATTTTATAGATTATTGATCTTTTTAGTATTTTTAGAATTTACGTTTTTAACTTTTTTTAATCTTATGATATATATATGATGATGATTAATATTATTCAAATTTGAATTATTAAGAATATATCGTTTCATATTATTAGAATTATTCTTTGTGTTGAATTATTCAAATTGTGTTAGCATTTAGAAACTATTTTTTTATTATTTTTAATTATATCTAATAAAATTTTTAAATAAATAATGATATGTATGGAGAAGTTAATTGCAAACCAACTATAAATTTGATAATTATCTCATAAAAACTTGCACACAATTAAAGAAATATAAATTCAAAAAAGTCTAGCAAAAATCATGAAGTCCAACGCCCTTCTCATTTTAAAGTTACTTATTGTTTTTCTAATAATTAATATTATTTAATTTTTTTATAGAATCCGCTATTTTCATTAAAAAATAAAAATTCAGAATTACAATAAAAGTTTTGTACTATAATCGTAAACTAAAACATAATTAAGATATTTTCTACAACCACACAAAAACTAGTCACTTAAAATCACACAAGGACGATGCAAAGAAAAAGTTAAAAACCTAATTAAAAACTCAAACAAAAAATAGATACGAACAAATCTGATTGCATTCGTAAACGAACCATAAAAATAGATGAAATTATTGAAGGATTACCAACAAACTACAAATCAGAGTCGAATGATGTGAAAAATAATCAACGTACGTAAATCACGTATCTAAATTCAATCAAATGTCCAAAGCAGGAAAGATCAACATGATAACAAATAAGTGTCATCTTGATCAGTCTTAACAAATGTCAAGTCCAACTTTGAGGGGAGAACAAAAAACAATGGATAAACAACTGAAAATGTACCACAAAGTTAGAATTATTAAAATTTGAAAAAAAATAAAAGAAAAATCAAAGATATAATGTAAGAAAATAAAAGAAAAATAAAAAATATTGAACGCGCAATCAACATCAAAATTAATAGAATTGCCTATCAATTAAAGATATCGATAAAGATAAAGAGAGAAACCTACTATGTTTAAGGTAAAAGAAAGAAAACTCTAGAGATATATTATTTAATATTTAAATTTTAAACATATATAATTTATTCAAAATATGATAATTATTCAAAGTTCCTTCATTTCCATTGATGTTACCGAAATCAAACATTAACTAAGCTCAAAGGACAATTATTAACATAAGAAAACAAGAAGCATTTTCCTCTTACATCAGCTTGAATTTCCGGCGATGAATCGTTTGATAACTTCCATCAAAGCTTTTGATGGTTCGGAGTTTGGATTAATAGTAAAGAAGCCATGTTGTTGTCCTTCAAATTCAGCATATTCTATCTTCTTCCTCATCTTCTTCAATCTCTCGGCATAATCCTTTCCTCGATCTTTCAACAAATCGCTTCCGCCAACCACCACAAGAATAGGGTCCAGAGCCAAGTGTTCGAGATTGCGACTGACGGGCCCGAAAGGGTTTATCAGCGGGTGATCGGTCGTTTCTCCGACCGGCACAGATAACCTCCAAAACCTGTCGATGAGCTCCAAATTAAGGAAGGCGTCTTTGGGACCCTCAGCTTCTGACGTGGTTAGCACTGTCCCGCCGAAGAAAGGTGCTAAAAGCACGTAGCCTCGGACCAGAACCGGGGCCAAATCAGGGGAATCAGCCCCTAGCTGGACTGCTAAATTATGAGCAATATTTCCACCGGCTGAGTCGCCGGATATGAATATCCGCTACATCAGTTAACCACGGATCAGGATTCTCAACCAGAGCTTGAGCTTGGAGCCATTTCACTGCTTTAAAACCATCCTCAATGGCTGCCGGGATTCGGTTCTCCGGAGCCAAGCGATAATCCGGCGAAATCACAACAGCTTGAAGCTCCAAAGCAAGCCGGAAGCAGTAGTTTTGACAGTTAGGCCATGCACGTGACCCAATGCAAAAACCACCGCCATGGATGTAATAAAAGATCGGGAGCTTGGCAGATGAAGGTGAGGCTGGCTTATAGAGCCTAAGCTGAAGGTCGTGTTGAGGATCAAATACGACATCTTTCCACAAGACGTTGCCATCATCGTCGATGGGAATGTTGAAGCTTGGCTTAGAAGAACGCCAAATGGAGCCGTCGCTGTAAACACGAAGGACTCCTCGGCATTCATCGACTTCATAGGGAGGGGTAGTTATGGAAGCAATGGCAGCCATGTTTAGATATCTCTGCTCTTTCAGCTGGGTTCTTGAGAGGTTAAATAAGGGAATGAAGGAGAAAGTGGAAACAAAGAAAAAGTTAAATGGAGGCTGCTACTTTCTGGTAAGAGCTGGCTTTTAGCCAATGGCGTTTTGTTTCTGTAGTTTCAAGTGAGTAGGTTTTGTACGACAAATGCCTTTAGCTGCTACATTGTATTGAAGTTCGCGTGTCACTGTCAAAGATATAAGAGTAAACTACAAATTTCACCACTTAATTTTCGTATAACTCCTGTTTCGTTCACTAAATTTTAAAAATCTCAATTTATCACTTGACTTCGAATATTTATTATTAGAATAAACTACTTCAAATACCACTCACTTTTAGGCTCGGGCTCATTTATGACACAAACGTTTTAATTTTTCCAATTTTAATACTAATGTTTAAATTTAACTGCAATTATGTCACTATGTCGTTAATGGATTAAAGGCACGATGACATGACATCTTCGCCTCGTGACATGGTTCCCTCACTAAAATGATGTCATTTTGGTATGACTATGTTTGGTGCTAAAAAACCCAAAACGACGTAATTTTGTTTGAGAAAATTTAGTAAAACCTTTTGAAATAAAGGTTAAGGCTTAACTACTACACCAACTTAATTTTTTGATATAATTATATAAACACAATATACATAACATGAGTCAACATTCTAATAGTTACTTTATAAAAAACCCGTTAAATTATTAAAATTCTAAAAAAAACCTTAAATTCCAGAAGAAGAAAAAAATCCTAAATTCCTAAAAAATCAAAAAATCATAAACTCTAAATCACAATTCCTGAAAATCATAAAAACCATAAGATTCATTTTTAGAATAAATTTAGGGATTACAAAAAAAATCATAAACTTTCACCCATAAAAATCATAAAAATCGTAAGATTTAATTTTTATAATGAATTTAGGGATTACTAAAAAATCATAAGCTCCCTATAAAATTAATCTTATGATTTTTACGGATTACAAGAGTTTATGTTTTTTTTGGAATTTAGGAGTTTTTGAGATTTTCTAGAATTTAATGTATTTTTTTGGGGAATTTAATAATTTCATGAGTTTTTAGAAAGTAACTTTTGGAATATTAACTCACGATATGTATATTGTGTTTGTAAAAATTATATTAAAAATTTAAGTTGATGTAGTGGTTAAGTTTTAACTTTTATTTTAAAAGGTATTGGGTTCAAATGCATTATTTATTAAAAATTTTTAAACAAAACTACGTTGTTTTTGGGTTTTTTACACCAACCACAGTCGTACCAAAACGACGTCGTTTTGGTAAGGGAGCACGTTAGCAACATCACGGCACATAAATGTCATGTCATGTGTCATTAAACCATTAATGATAGATTGATATAATTGCAGTTAAATTTAAACGTTAGTGTTAAAATTAATAAAATTAAAATGTTGGTGGCATAAACAATCTTGAGCCTAAAGATAAATGGTATTTAAAGTAGTTTACCCTTATTATTATTATTATTATTATTATTATTATTATTATTATTATTTTATTATTATTCTACCTTCATCTCTCTAACTCTGCAGTGATATGATATTTTTCATTAAATTTTGAGTTACCACATAAGCACCAATAAATATTGTATTAATATTTATATTTTTTAATTGAATTAAACTTTTCATCGGTCAAACTCCCCCTCACCTATTATCCTTTTTCTTGTACCATTGTCGTCTATCATCCCAAATCAATCATTAATAGAAGGTTTAATATAAAAATAAATATATAAATTATATACTTTTTCTTATTTAGTTATTTAAATTATTTTTGTTATCAATTTAGGTGTATAATATTTTTAATGTTATTATTTAAGTGTTTATACCGTAACGACTGTTAAAAAATCGTTAAAAATAAGTCAATCAATCAATATTTGGCACGTGGTTTATTTTTAAAACAATAAAATTCATAATTTTTTTAAAAACTCAAACTTTCCCTATTTTTCATAAAATATCTCAAGACTTTCAATTCTGACGTTAATCACCACTGCCGTCGACGATCATCGACTCACCTGTCGGTCACCCACCCACCGATTGGTATAGATGTGTGTTGGAATTTAAGGATTTAAGGTTTGGAATTAGGAATTTTGGGGTTTGAAGCCACGATTGACCGTGATCGGTGGACAGGCTGTCAATGAGGGTGGCAACAACAATGGACATCGGACAGGTGGAGTGGATGTTTTGACATTAAAGATTTTGAGATTTTTTTTTGAGATTTTATAATTAT